GAGAGGGCATTACAAGTGTTGTTAACAAAATTAAATGTTGGAAACAAAAGCATTGAAGACAATGCAGTTGTTGGTGTGATGCAAACTTCAGTGAGGAAGAATGTTCCGGTGGCTTTGTTTCTGTTGTAAAGTGTTCATTGTTAAAGGAGTTGAAAAATATTGCCAAATAAACTAAGAAAGATGTTATCCAAATTTGTATCTGAGTATCGGAGTGTGTTTCTGAAAGGGGAGCACAGCATCAATACTATGAGAAGAAGAGAAAAACATCTTGTACAGCTGTCGGGTGCTATAAAAAAAAACATGTGATGTCAAACAGTTGGTCCCTGATGAGATCCACATCCTCCAGGGCATTTGTGAAAGTATGTATCGTTGGTGTTGCAAGCTTTACACTTATGTCCGTTTGGGTACTTTTTACACCAGACACAAAACTAGTTTTTGCTGTTTTGTTCCTATCAGAAATGAGGAAAACAAGAACATTTTAAGCCTCGACCATAGCATTAAACCATATTTTGGCGATGTTGAAAAGCTCGTCTTTGGTAGAGATTTGGGAAGGTGTAAAAATAGAAAATTCTCAAAATTTGGAGTTAAGTGGATTGCTTGCGACAGCGAAGAAATGCAATGTTTCCTCTGTGTCTCTCCCCGTGAGTAACAGCTGCTGACAGTTTGTGATTTAGTATTTAGGCCATGACAGTTTTGTGTCAGAGCCAAATGACTGTGCCTGCTCTGGTTTTTCGACTGTTTTCTATGTTTTCTATGTGTCCATTTGTGTGCGGGTGTAATCATGTTTTATGTCCACATGTTTGTGTGTGTCATGTGTGAGTTTTTGAAACTGACTTTCGTTGCTGGAACATGTTTTTGTGTCTTACTATTTTGACTATTTTCTATGTCTTTTGTTTCGACTGTGAAATGAACTTATCTAGAGTGCTTTTTTAAAAATATGATTTCAATTTATGTAAGGTCTTGTCTGGACAAAGTTTATAAATCATAGATGTCCATTTATGATTTCATGTATAACTCTTATTAGAGTCTGAACCTATACTTCCAAGTGCATGTACACGTACGTAACTTTGAATAAAATTTTATAGTCTTTATCAGACTAGCTGTTAAGGGTGAAAAGACCACCAGAAGCTGTCCTCAGAGAATCAGATTTTAGACTACCGTAATTGAAATGACCATAGCTCCTCACTGAAAACTTTGGTCTTGTGACATGTGGCAATAAATATATTGTTTTACTGATGTTTACTGAACACCAGTTATATTTTTTTACTCCTGTTTTGCCTGAGACTGTAATATGGCTTTACATTATTTTGAAACTGTGAGTGTATGTTTGGTTGTTTGAGGGGATAGTTGGGTTGTGATATGGAAGTATTTTTAAAATGTATTGTATGAAATTGTTCTGGGGTTGATGTGCTTTTGAAACAGTGAGAGTTCATGGGGAGAGAGAAGGGGTGGGTTGGCCCTAAAGATTCGAGGGTAAGGTTTTAAAATAAAATGTTTTACAGTACCCCCTCAAAATCACTGGCATACATGTACGGCAGTAGCACTGTTGTAATGCAGTATCGTATGCCTGGGGTACTTCAGTGGTAAAAAACCAAGTGTGTTGCTCATCAGTATTAGAGTTTTCATCTCTTATGGCTACGTTATATTGTTTCCCAATTACATATAGGGCCGTCTACCTTCTACGAGCAGAACGTGAACTTTGTCTCTCTGAAGCCGTGGCATTCTCCGTACATGTTGCAATGAAATTATTCTCGTTTTTAGATTCTTAGACTATTCTGGTTTTGTTAAATTCTTTTAAGCGCCCTAAGTAGGTTTGTGTGTTGAAGGATACGAAACGAAAAATCAAAGAATCACCCTAAAATTGCATCTGCTAAAAACAAGAGCAGACAATGGCTTCTTTTTGGGATAGGCCTAAAAAGTGATTGATGCTGATAACACAATTACGTGCCTGCCTTTCTTTTTAGAACATTGCTCTGAATTAGGCTATTGCTATTTTTATTCCTAAGAAGGGACTGAAAAAGAAGGTTTTGCAGTATTTGTTCTTTCTAGGCTGTTTGTGCAACTGTAATAGATGGTAACAAGCATGCAAAAAACTTCCAGTCTCATGTAAGGCTTCCGTAGTCTTTGGATAGTGAGAATTCATACCGGGTATATAATATAAGAGCTTCATAGTGGTTTCCAGGATGTAGATGTAGGAATTGTTTTTGGTTTTTTTAGGGGGG